TTTAAAACATGTAAAGAATTTAATGTGCTAAACGTTAAGACCCTATAGTCCCTCATGGTGCCCCCTCGAGGGGACATCCGTTCATCATGATGGCGGTAGTTCGGGGCCCATTTGGCGATGATAAAATGTAACTAGTTTGGTTTTCGAAGCGTTGAATGTAACCAGCCAAACCCCTACTGAGATGTTAGAACTAGAACATCTGCCAATCTCTGATCATCATAAGTTTTGGGGGTACACCCCTGTATTGTCGTATCATCATATATCACAAATGCTATGAGTATACTCTTAAGCAGATCATTTATGTAAATTAAAACGAGTGTTGCTACGAGAAGTGACCACTGGGGGATGCCCGCATTGATTCCTAGATCCCCACCTCACCTCAGTATACAACTTTTAGTTAACTACGTTCAGGGACCTAATTTTGTCGTGAAATCACTTGTCTGTCATCTTTGATTTAATCTCGTATACCTCCTATTCATTGAATTTTTACTTTATTTATTTTTCATTTTATTTTATTTACTTTATTTTTCAGACTAAATAGCATATTTAGGATATTTTTCATACTCAGTGGTGTAGACTGGCAAATTTAGAGTTGTCACCTGCAATTAAAAACTTGTAAACCATGTGTTCATATAAACACAGGCCTATGTTCTAAATTTGCACTATTTATAAGGGAAGAGGGCTTAATATTGTGTGAAGATCACATTGAGACATGAAACTGAGCGTTACCATGTAGTGTTGATTCCTATTTCCACACTGTTTCTCTATCACCTTCTTACATAATGTGGATTGTTTAAGTGTATTTTAATCTGGTAAAAGGCCCATTGGGATGAGCACCAAGTGATGATCAAACTTTCTTGAATAGTTGTAGATTGTGAAATTATATATATATATATATATATATATATATATATATATATATGAAGAAATATATTCTTAAGGTATGCTATATTTATGGGATAAAATGCTCAATATCAGAGATAGAATGTATGTAAATATAAAAGTGAACATTGAAGGCAGCAATATTCTATTTTTGGCCTGATCTTGATCTTGGAAAAGTAGAGGCTAGCATAAAGAGTCAGGTACTCACTGGAGCGGTACATAGAACTATTTTTACTGCATCTTTAGTAATGGATCAGATGTATGAGTTCCAATTGATGCCAGGGGTGAGTTTAAGGCCCAACAGTCTCTCAAGGCATGGAGCCTCCCCTAGCGGATGTGCATTCATCATGACTGGTAATAGTTTGGGGTCCGATCGATGATGATAAAATGTTACTAGTTTGGTTTTCAAGGCAATGAATGTAACCAGCCAGTTTTTTTCCTCCACCACTGGGAAGTTAGTGCTAGATCAGATGAGGGACCAGGCACGGTGGAGCAATGGATAGAGGCGAGGATTGAGGAATCGGAGAGCCGAGATCGAATGTCAGTCGAATCCATTGCATTCACATGCTGACACTCCTGGGAAAGGTATGAATCCTCTTCTCCACTCCCCCCGCCAGCTATGGGTAAATAGCAGGACAAACCGGGTTCTAAAGCTCTGGATGGCAACTGGACTACCGCAGAAAAAAATGGCAATCTACTGCACGAAAAATCTGCCTCCTGAGCCATGTATCGAAAGATACATGATCACCTAAGCGTGTATCACGCATGGCACATAACTGACTCACTGAGACTGACATCTCATCATTTACTTTAATAGAGTCATGGTTGCTGTACATTAGGCATATTGATACACATTTAGCTTGTAGCAATTGTATGTTCCATCAAATTTTCTATATATGTTGGTGCAAACGATAACGAAATAATGTCGTTTTTGACGTTAAAAATACGTCAAAAAACGACATTATTACGTCATTATTTTTACACCAACCTAATATAAGGCAAAAGTCGCGAACGATAGGGGTTAATGAAGAAGTCCTATTGAATGTCGACTGATGTCACCAGACCTAACCATCAGTGATAATTCTACGGGGTGGTAGAAAGCGGGAGTTTTGGCTGACCCCTCAGTTGCCCCCCCCTTTTTTTTCTAGGTTTTGTAGAGGTTAAAGTTAGGAGTGACAAATTAAACTGTTCTGCTAGTATTGACGGTAGTAGTAACCCTTTGATTTTGTTTTGAATTTAACCTCTCTTTTGGTTCAACAGCTTGAGAGTGGAAAAGCAGGCAAGAATATATTAGAACTCAACTACTATGAATGAAAAGTTATTCCGTTTAACTTAGTGAAGTACCATACTAAAACTCATTCCTAAGTGGTGTATACGATAGTGGGGTAGTATGAAAATAAAGAAGCTGCTTGAATTTACCCCCACCACCTCCGCCGCATAATAATCTCGGCCCCCAAGTTTTCCCCACCACACTTTCAGAGTTCTAGAATCGGCCCTGCTAACCATCATATGTTTACTTTCAGTGGGGTCATTTGAAATCAGTTATTAGACGCACCCAAGAAATATTGACGAATTTAAAGAAAGAATTAAATATGAATGCAGTAAAATGACGTGTTAATGAACACGGTGAACATCGAATTGAAACCCTTTTTGAAAAAGAAAGACATTTTGAAAAGCACATTTAACATTAAATAACTAGGAAATAAAATTTATCATGTGTAATTTTACTTTTAATAAATTATCACGATAGTGCGCGAATTTTCTCTCACCCAGTATATACCGAGTATAACAGGAAAATTGTGCAAATCGTGTGATAGCAAAAAAAATATTAAGTTTCTTTTCCAGGTTTTCAGTTAAGACATTCAACCTTCTTGACACCATTTGCCGTAAGAAAAAAAAAAAACAAAAAAAAAAACAAAAAAAAAACGTTGAGTTATTCAGCTAGAAAGCGAGCAGGTTAAAATCGTTTTTGTGTCAGACGCCACTGTCTTCCCAAATGGGCAATGGTGAGAGGAAAAAGATAATTCAGGCCTTCAGTAATGGTATCAACATTCATAATTTCTCTTCAAAGTCCATTCAAATATCCATAAAGAGAAAAGGTGAATAAGTTTAAAACAGAGTGAACATGAGCGAGGAAACTGAATCAGGAGGTCACAACAGGAAGAGGCGGAGTCATTTCACTTTAGAGCCAAAGAGATCAATTAGAAAAGATCCAACTCAATCCATAAGACGTTTGGCACGTGAGAAAGGAGTTTTAGTTATGACGGTCCAAAGAGCAGTGAAAAAAGAATTGAAAATGAAATCGTACGTGAAACGTGTGAGACACCTTATTACTCCAGGACATAAAGTCAGGTTAGAGAGGCCGAAGATAATTTTGAAAATGATCCTGGAAATATGAGAGAGAGAGAGAGAGAGACTATTTCAACTGTTCATGAGGCTCCGATCCTTAGCTATGATTAATGAAGTCATTTTCATCTATGATCGATTTCATCACGATTCTTCTTTTAAGCTTGGAAAGTAACTGCACATTATTTTTGCTTAAAGTATAGTCGAATAGTGTTAAAAAATCCTCGGAGAATTCTAGTAATTTATCTTTAATCATTTCTAAGATACAATGGTTGAAAAAAAATCTAACAAATAGAAAAATTTTGCTTTTTACACGACTTGGACAATTTTGCATATATTCTATATATATATATATATATATATATATATATATATATATATATATAAAAAATATATTTGAAAAAAACAAAAAAAATCCTTAAATGAAAATTAAAAAATGAAATGATTGTAATTTTTTCCACATGTTTAATAAATGAGATTTTCAAGACAATATTCATCAAAAAAACAATTCAGTTCAATATGATAAATACGATGGACATAAAAAAAGTCTTATTTTAAATTTTTAAAAAAATTTTTTTAATGATCACCTTCCGTCTAACATGGTCACGCCGTCGTCACATGGGCGACGCTTTCATAACGTATTCCTAAAAGTTTGTTTTTATTTTGAAATGAAAAAAAAAATGAAAAAATTTATTAGGTTCTAAAATTTTTATGTGACCATGTTAGACGGAAGGCTGATCATTTTAAAAATTTTCAGTTATCTGTTTTGAATAAGACTTGTGTTTTTATGTCCATCGTATTTTACATATTGAACTGAATTTGTATTTTAATGAATATTGTCTTGAAAATGGTTTATTAAACCGAAACGTCTGACGTCGACAATTTTTTCATTTTAACTACATTTATGGATTTTTTTGTTTTTTTTTTTTTTTTATATCCTTTTTTATATATTATATATCCCTATTTAAATAATCATTTATATATATAAATATATCAGCTATAGATAAATAATTTTCTATTCTATAAAATGTAAAAATACATCCTGTGCATGAAATGAAATGGCACACACACACACAAAATCATAGTTTTAATGTATGGTGTACTTATGATGATTTAAAGTGCTCAATATCAGTTCAATAGACATATGTAAAAAAAAAAAAAAAAATTTTAAAAATTGATGTTTCTACTTTTGCAAAGACTTGTGTTTTTCTGTCCATCGTTTTCGTCATTATTGAAATGATATTTGTATTTTAATGAATTTTTGTAAGATAGAAAAATGGTTTATTAAAACCGAAACGTCTGACGTCGACAATTTTTCGATTTTAACTACATTTATGAATTTTTGTTTGTTTTTTTAAAATTTCTATTTATATATATATATATATATATATATATATATATATATATATATTTTATATATGTATGTGTAAACATGTCTGATTGTATCAAACATGTCCAATTCAGCGCTGTTCAATAACAAATTCTAGTTTTTCTTTTCTCAAAATGTGTCCCACCTGTTTCCATTTAACAAAAATAAATTGACTGTTTGTTATTAACAGGAAAATTCGAATTCTATTCCGACGTTTGTTTATGGCACTTCTTAAGTTCATTCCAACTATTTAATTCTTCTAAGCCAAATTGTCATTTGAATTTTGAAGACCTTACAAAATTACCAAAATGACACGGAAAAGAGAATGATCAAGTGTCATGCTTTGATTGTGCTGAACCTTTGATGCCTCCTTATTCTTTGATCAGCAAGAACGTGAGCGACTTTACTCTGCATTGTATTTGAATACAACCGAGGAAGATGAAGAGAACTGAAATAAAGTATACAAAAGGATTCAAATCGAAACTCCCGCATCTTATGTCAGGTGAACTAATCGGGGCGCTGATTGCTACTTGTTTTCCTGTTTGATTTATTTTGCTTTGTAATTCTATGTTCGTATCATCGCATTTATTATTCAATCTATTTTGTTCAAATATATATATATATATATATATATATATATATACACACTGCGTTGGCAGAATGAAATTCCCAGGTCGTGATATCGACTCAAATATATATATATATATATATATATATATCTTTTGAGGAAACATGAGAACAAATATTTCACGACATTTAAACCCTAACAATGTCCCTAATTGTGTGTATATATATATATATATATATATATATATATATATGTGTGTGTGTATCCGAATTCCTTATAATAAGACAGTATGTATGTATGGAGAGGAATGCATTATAGTGAGTCTGTCTGTCTCTCTCTCTATATATATATATATATATATATATAGAAATTAACATAAACAGCAAAACCCCTATTTTTTTGATTTGCTAATCAAATCAATCTCGAGGGAAAAAAAAAAATTTTTTTGAAAAAAAGAGCTACAAACATGAACTTCTGTCGACAAAAAATCGCACAGATGCATTTAACTGAAGCCTAAAGAAAAAAAAATGTGATACGAGTAAACAACTAACTAACAAAAGAGCTCAATACAACCGTAGAGCAGACCTAGATACACCTAATGAGCCAGACAAACCTACCTAGGTTTCACGTAAACGGATCGTCAGGGTAAGTTTGGCTAACCAGGCAAAGAGAAACACATATTTATAGGTGATAGCTAAAATCATACCACGTGACAAAAAAAAAAAAAAAAAAAAAAAAAAAAAAAACAAACAAACGGAGGGGGGGTAAATATTTATTCAACAAAAAAAAAAAAAAAAAAAAAAAATCCTCAAGGTGGAAAGTCAATAACGGGGAAACGTCTAATTTAGCAACCAAGATTTTTTATGTCTACATACATTAAGAATTTCAGTTTTAGAGTTTAATAGCTGGTTAGGTTGATCATATAAAGCTATGGCTAATTTCTAATCAAGCACATAATTTGAAAATTTATTTGAGCTTTATATTTTTTTAGCATTTTTTTTTAATATTTCCCATTTAAGGATGGGGTCTATATTATTGTCTTGTTTCGTTTTCCATACGTAGGTAGATAAATGGCATACTATGTTTAATTTTTATGTTTCTTAAAACTACTCGTGTGGTTATAATATCTTTTTTTAAATTTATTCTGAGTAGCACCTATGTATGTTTTAGGGTTAGTATCCTCAGTATTTTTTAAATTTTCACTTGATACATCATAATTCCTGCTGGCATTTTCCCTGTAATGGACAGATATTTTTGTTTCTACAATTACAAGTAGGAGGATTACTACGTGGATCATTCCTAGTTTTTTTTTTATTCAATCCATTTATAATAGTCCCTACGTTCGGCATACAAAAATAAAACTAAGTTTTACATTGTCTTTTGTTAAATATTTTATGTAACTCAGTTTTTTTTTAATATTGCTCCATAATTAAAAAAATATCTTACCAATTTTTAGTTTTTACCGCTAAATTAAAACATTTTTCTTTGCCTATTATGTTTATTCCGAGTAATGTTGTGGTTGTCTATATATTCTAATTTATTTTCATATATACTATATATATAAGGCTTGTCATAACTTATTTTGTTGGCCTCAAAATGTCCCTATTGGAGATATTATAGAAAGTCTATACCCAATATTTTTAGAAAACTATGCCTTATAATATGGGCTGGGTAGATTTGATTTTATGTGTAAATATTGGGGTTCTTAGGTTTCTTTTTTATATAGGGGATATCGTGCCATTTTGTAAATTCAACGTATATATCTAGATAGTTGGTAATTTTCAAATTGGTTTCTATATCGAACTTTCCTGACGATCCGTTTAGGTGAAACCTAGGTAGGTTTGTCTGTCTATAGGTAGGTCTATCGATCTTTTGTTTATAGTTGTTTACTCGTATCGTGTTTTTTTCTTTGGGCTTCAGACCTGCATCTGTGCGATTTTTTTGTCGACAGAAGTTCATGTTTGTAGCTCTTTTTTTTTTTTAAAACCTTTTTCCCTCGAGATTGATTTGATTAGCAAAAATCAAAAATTCGAGGGTTTTTCGAAACGAGTCTAGTTATCTATATTTATATGTATAAATATCTAGGTTATCCTATCGAGCACTGTTTTAAATCGACTAATATGGAACGCGTAGACATAGGTTATTCACTTAAAAAACATACCCATACCTGACCGTCACCATACGAGTTATGTTTATTAAGAAAATAGAAAAATTTATAATAAATATGAGGTGGCGTGCATATTTTTGTTTAAATAATAAACCTAATAGAAAACCAACGAGAGCTATGGATTTAAGACCAATGCCCATCCCCCGTATGTTAAGGAACTCAGTAACTTTGAATCGGAGTTAATCGGCATTATCAAAAAATTAAAATATAGGAAAATAAGGAATAATAACGTGCAACAAATGTCAATTGCTAAAAATATAAAAGAAATAAAGGAAGACAAGAATATTTACGTAAAAAAGCTGATAAATCTAAATTTTTATACAAAATGAGCCCCAATAATTACAAAAAAATACTACATAAAGAGGTAATAAAACATTATATAAAAGCTCCTAATAACATAGAGACTAAAATTAACAATGAGGCTAGTATCCCAATTAATAAATTTGAATTAGGAAATCGAGTTGAAAAATAAACCTAAACACTTGCTTTATCACCATAAAAATCATAAAAGTAACTTTATTAATAATCCGAATATAGACTTATAAACCCTACTAAGACGGAATTAGGCAAAATAAGTAAAATAGTTCTGCAGGATATATGTAAATCCTTAGAACTTTCCTTAATATTAACCAATGGCAATCTACTAAGGATTGCATTAAATGGTTTGAAAATTAAAATAAAATAAAAAGTGCTCATTTATTAGGTATGATATTAAGGAGTATTATCCGTCTATTTTCAGAAAAACCCTAAACGAAGCCCTTAGCTTAGCTAAAGAATACATCCAAATTTCTGATTATAAAATAAATCTAATTAGACATTGTTTCAATTATTGCTATTTCACGATAATACTTTTATGGATAAAAAAAGATAATATTAACGGTTTTGACAACCCTATGGGAGCGTTTGATGGGGCAGAGGTGTGCGAGATAGCAGGGTGCCTTCTGCTCCATAGGCTTAATGAATATATAGACTTTAATAACCATGGGTTGTACCGCGACGACGGTTTAATCATAGTGGACAATAGTAACCCTCAAAAATGTGACAATATCCGTAAAAAAAACTGTACTGGTTTTTTAAAAAATTTGGATTTTATCTCGATATAGAAACCAATTTGAAAATTACCAACTATCTAGATATTACGTTGAATTTACAAAATGGCACAATATCCCCGTATAAAAAAGAAAACCAAGAACCCCAGTATTTACACATAAAATCAAATCACCCAGCCCATATTATAAGGCATATTTCTAAAAATATTGGGTATAGACTTTCTACTAATTCCTCCAATAGGGACATTTTTTGAGGCCAACAAAATAAGTTATGAGCAAGCCCTAATTAAGAGTGGACATAAAATAAATTAGAATATATAGACAAATAACCACAACATTACTCGGAATAAACATAATAGGCAAAGAAAAAAATTTTGTGGTTCAATCCTCCTTTTAATTTAGCGGTAAAAACTAAAATTGGTAAGATATTTTTTAATTTACTGGAGCAACATTTCCCCAAAAAACTGAGTTACATAAAATATTTAACAAAAAACAATGTAAAACTTAGTTATTGTTGTATGCCGAACGTAGGGACTATTATAAATGGATTGAATAAGAAAAAAAACTAGGAATGATCCACGTAGTAATCCTCCTACTTGTAATTGTAGAAACAAAAACATCTGTCCATTACAGGGAAAATGCCAGCAAGAATGCGTGGTTTATCAAGTGAAAATTTACAAAAATACTGAGGATACTAACCTAAAACATACATAGGTGCTACTCAGGATAAATTTAAAAAAAAGATATTATAACCACACGAGTAGTTTTAAAACGCAAAATTAAAACATAGTACCACGCTATCTACCTACGTATGGAAAACCAAACAAGAAGATAATATAGACCCCATCCTTAAATGGGAAATATTAAAAAATGCCCAAAATATAAAGCAGGCCATAAATTTTTCAAATTATGTGCTGATTAGAAATTAGCCATAGCTTTATATGATCAACCTAACCAGCTATTAAACTCTAAAACTGAAATTCTTAATGTATGTAGACATAAAAAATCTTGGTTGCTAAATTAGACGTTTCCCCGTTATTGACTTTCCACCTTGAGGATTTTTTTTTTTTTTTTAAATATTTTACCCACCTAAATTTTAAACTTTTGTTTGTTTTTTTTTTTTTTTGTCACGTGGTATGATTTTAGCTATCACCTATAAATATGTGTTTCTCTTTGCCTCGTTAGCCAAACTTTCTCTGACGATCCGTTTAGGTGAAACCTAGGTAGGTTTGTCTGGCTCACTAGGTATATATATATATATATATATATATATATATATATACACATATATTGTCGAAAACAAGATTTCTCACGGGCATAAACGCGAACCCTACACAACATACAAAAAGTTTGTGTGTGTGTATGTATGTATATGTGTATACTAATTCCATATAATAAGATAGTATGCATGCTTGGAGAGGGAATACACTTATACATACGCATATTGACAAAAACAAAAAAAATGAAGGGTCAATAAAAGATAAGAACACTGATATCTTTCCTCACCCTTTTTCGGACCAATCTTAATAGGTTTATTACCCTTTACGCAGAACTTTTTCACTGTCAGTTCAAGGAAGACATTTCTGTCACTAACAAACAAAAAGAGAATTATTAACTTCGAAAAACGTAAGTAAAATTAGTTCTTTTTAATAATATGCGGAAATATCCACTCTCTGCCTGATGAAGGCAACCAAAAACTTTTCCGGTTTCTCTTTACATATATATCTTAAAATAATTGTCGGATTTTGTCCATTTCATAATGTGACGTCATTTGTTTACATTTGGCTACGCTTTGAGCAGATATCAATGTACGTGAGAGATTTATGGAAGATTCTCCGTGGCTCGATCAGGCTAAATGACAGTTTCGCATAGGATACAGGTTCGATTCCTGTCGGAGGACGAATATTTTCTATGAAAATCTCTCGGACATTCAGGCCGGTAAATGTTATATATACTGTTTATTATAAAACAGAGCATTTACTTAAATATTTGTATCTATAAAAAGAATGTATAAGCATAAAATGTCTTAAAAGGACTTTGTCCATTTCATAATTATATGATTGCTTAGCACACATATACATATGTAAAACGCACACGGGATTCCTGGGAGAGTTAGTTACAAATTGCAATTTGTTCAACGCAGATAAGAAAAAAAAAGAAAAGAAAAAAAGAAAAAAAAAGAAAAAAAAAAAAGAAAAAAAAAGAAAAGAAATAAAGAAAAGAAATAAAGAAAAAAAAGAAAAGAAATAACGAAAAAAAAAAGAAAAAAAAGAAAAGAAATAACGAAAAAAAAAAGAAAAAAAAGAAAAAAAAACGAAAAAAAAGAAGAAAAAGGAAAAAAGAAGAAAAAGGAAAAAAAGAAGAAAAAGGAAAAAAGAAAAAAGAAAAAAGGAAAAAAGGAAAGAAAAACAAGAAAAAGGAAAGAAAAAGAAGAAAAAGGAAAAAAAAGAAGAAAAAGGAAAGAGGAAAAAAAAAGAAAAAAGAAAAGAAAAGAAAAAAAACAAGAAAAAAAACAAGAAAAAAAGAAAAAAAAACGAACAATCAAAAAACAAATTTAAAATGCTGACTTTCAAGGAAGGTAAAACCTATTAACGATGGAAAAACCAACCACATTTTAAATCTACTGACGATTTCACAAAAGATTGAATAAATCTTGCAACTATACACATTAGCTGTAACAGCAATTGTAGCCTTAATATTTAAAGTGTTAATTATAATTGTAGTCTTCTAAGTGTTTAATTATTGCTCATTCGTTGGAAAAAAAAATTTCTTTAAATTAATTTTATTAGCAGTCTCGATTGGGAATGATGTCGTTTGATAGCAATTTTGATGAAGTTTCCCGTCATTAAAATTAACATTTGTTCTCAAACTTATCTAAAGAACAGCCATCCATTAATACGATGGCTAAAATGCTGACTAGTATAATAATTGGAAGAAAGAGAGATGAGTAAAAAAGAAAGGGAAAAAAGAGTGAAAAGGAGAGATGAGTAAAAAAAGAAAGGGAAAAAAGAGTGAAAAGGAGAGATGAGTAAAAAAAGAAAGGGAAAAAAGAGTGAAAAGGAGAGATGAAAAAAAAAGAAAGGAAAAAAAAGTGAAAAGGAGAGATGAGTAAAAAAGAAAGGAAAAAAAAGAAAAGGAGAGATGATGAGTAAAAAGAAAGGGAAAAAAGAGTGAAAAGGAGAGATGAGTAAAAAAAGAAAGGGAAAAAAGAGTGAAAAGGAGAGATGAGTAAAAAAAGAAAGGGAAAAAAGAGTGAAAAGGAGAGATGAGTAAAAAAAGAAAGGGAAAAAAGAGTGAAAAGGAGAGATGAGTAAAAAAAGAAAAAAAAAAAAAGAGGAAAAGGAGAGATGAGTAAAAAAAACAAAGGGAAAAAGAGTGAAAAGGAGAGATGAAAAAAAAGAAAGGGAAAAAAAGAAAAAAAGGAGAGATGAAAAAAAAAGAAAGGGAAAAAAAGGAAAAGGAGAGATGAAAAAAAAAGAAAGGGAAAAAGAGGAAAAGGAGAGATGAGTAAAAAAAAAAAGGGAAAAAAAGAGGAAAAAAGAGATGAGTAAAAAAAAAGGGAAAAAGAGGAAAAGGAGAGATGAAAAAAAAAAAAAGGGAAAAAGAGAAAAGGAGAGATGAGTAAAAAAAGAAAGGGAAAAAGAGGAAAAGGAGAGATGAGTAAAAAAGAAAGGGAAAAAAAGTGAAAAGGAGAGATGAGTAAAAAAGAAAGGGAAAAAGAGGAAAAGGAGAGATGAGATTAAAGAAAGGGAAAAAGAGGAAAAGGAGAGATGAGTAAAAAAAGAAAGGGAAAAAAGAGTGAAAAGGAGAGATGAGTAAAAAAAGAAAGGGAAAAAAGAGTGAAAAGGAGAGATGAGTAAAAAAAGAAAGGGAAAAAAGAGTGAAAAGGAGAGATGAGTAAAAAAAGAAAGGGAAAAAAGAGTGAAAAGGAGAGATGAGTAAAAAAAGAAAGAAAAAAGAGTGAAAAGGAGAGATGAGTAAAAAAAAAGGGAAAAAAAAGAGGAAAAGGAGAGATGAGTAAAAAAAAAGGGAAAAAAAAGAGAGAGAAAGGAGAGATGAGTAAAAAAAAAAGGGAAAAAAAAGGAAAAAGGAGAGATGAGGAAAAAAAGAAAGGGAAAAAAGAAAAGGAGAGAGGAAAAAAAGAAAAAAGGAAAAAAGAGGAAAAGGAGAGATGAGTAAAAAAGAAAAGGAAAAAAGAAGAAAAAAGGAGAGATGAGTAAAAAAAATAAGGGAAAAAAGAGAAAAGGAGAGATGAGTAAAAAAGAAAAAGGAAAAAGAGGAAAAGGAGAGATGAGTAAAAAAAGAAAAAAAAAGAGGAAAAGGAGAGATGAGTAAAAAAGAAAGGAAAAAAGAGTGAAAAGGAGAGATGAGTAAAAAAGAAAGGAAAAAAGAGGAAAAGGAGAGATGAGTAAAAAAAAAAAGGGAAAAAAGAGAAAAGGAGAGATGAGTAAAAAAAAAAGGGAAAAAAAAGAGAAAAAGGAGAGATGAGTAAAAAAGAAAGGGAAAAAAGAGGAAAAGGAGAGATGAGTAAAAAAAAGAAAGGAAAAAGAGGAAAAGGAGAGATGAAAAAAAAAAAAAAATAAAAAAAGGAAAAGGAGAGATGAGTAAAAAAGAAAGGGAAAAAAGAGTGAAAAAGGAGAGATGAGTAAAAAAAAAAAAAAAAAAGAGAAAAGGAGAGATGAGTAAAAAAAAGAAAGGGAAAAAAAAAGGAAAAGGAGAGATGAGTAAAAAAAAAAGGGAAAAAAAGTGAAAGGAGAAAAAGAGAAAAAGTAAAAAAAAAAAAAAGGAAAATGAGTAAAAAAAAAAAAAAAAGAAATGAGTAAAAAAAAAAAAAAGGAGAAATGAAAAAGAAAAAAAAGAAAAGGAGAAATGAAAAAAAAAAAAGAAAAAGGAGAAATGAGTAAAAAAAAAGAGAAAAGGAGAAATGAGTAAAAAAAAAGAAAAAAGGAAAATGAGTAAGAAAAAAAAAATGAAAAGGAAGAAAATGAAAAAAAAAAAGAAAAGGAGAAATGAGTAAGAAAAAAAGAGAAAAGGAGAAATGAGTAAGAAAAAAAGTGAAAAGGAGAAATGAGTAAGAAAAAAAGAGAAAAGGAGAAATGAGTAAAAAAAAAGAGAAAAGGAGAAATGAGTAAAAAAAAAAAAAAAGGAGAAATGAGTAAAAAAAAAAAAAAAAAAGAGAAAAAGAAAGTAAAAAAAAAAAAAGTGAAAAGGAGAAATGAATAAAAAAAAAGAGAAAAGGAGAAATGAGTAAGAAAAAAAGAGAAAAGGAGAAATGAGTAAAAAAAGAGAAAAGGAGAAATGAGTAAAAAAAAAAGAGAAAAGGAGAAATGAGTAAGAAAAAAAGAGAAAAGGAGAAATGAAAAAAAAAAGAGAAAAGGAGAAATGAATAAAAAAAGAGAAAAGGAGAAATGAGTAAAAAAAAAAAAAGGAGAAATGAGAAGAAAAAAAAGAGAAAAGAAAAATGAGTAAAAAAAAGAAAAGGAGAAATGAGTAAAAAAAAAGAAAAGGAGAAAAAAGAGTAAAAAAAAAGAGAAAAGGAGAAATGAGTAAAAAAAAGAAAAAGGAGAAATGAGTAAAAAAAGAAAAAAGGAGAAATGAGTCAAAAGAAAAGAAAAAAGGAAAAATGAATAAAAAAAGAGAAAAGGAGAAATGAGTAAAAAAAAGAGAAAAGGAGAAATGAAAAAAAAAAAAAAAAAAAAGGAGAAATGAATAAAAAAAAAAAAAGAGAAATGAGAAAAAAAAAAGAAAAAGAGAAATGAGTAAAAAAAAAGAGAAAAGGAGAAATGAGTAAAAAAAGAGAAAAGGTGAAATGAGTAAAAAAAAAAGAGAAAAGGAGAAATGAATAAAAAAAAGAGAAAAGGAGAAATGAATAAAAAAAAGAGAAAAGGAGAAATGAGTAAAAAAAAGAGAAAAGGAGAAATGAGTAAAAAAAAGAGAAAAGGAGAAATGAGTAAAAAAAGAGAAAAGGAGAAATGAGTAAAAAAGAGAAAAAAGAAATGAGAAGAAAAAAGAAAAAGGAGAAATGTATAAGAAAAAAAAAGAAAAAGGAGAAATGTAGAAAAAAAAAAGAAAAAGGAGAAATGAATAAAAAAAGAGAAAAGGAGAAATGAATAAAAAAAAGAGAAAAGGAGAAATGAATAAAAAAAGAGAAAAGGAGAAATGAATAAAAAAAAGAGAAAAGGAGAAATGAATAAAAAAAAGAGAAAAGGAGAAATGAGTGAAAAAAAAAGAGAGAAAAGGAGAAATGAGTAAAAAAAAAAAAAAAAAGAGAAAAGGAGAAATGAGTAAAAAAAAAAAAAGAGAAAAGGAGAAATGAGTAAAAAAAAAAAAAAAGAGAAAAGGAGAAATGAGTAAAAAAGAAAAGGAGAAATGAGTATAAAAAGAAAAGGAGAAATGAGTATAAAAAGAAAAGGAGAAATGAGTAAAAAAGAAAAGAAAAGGAGAAAAAACGTTGAAAGGAGGCAAGAAAAATGGAGAAATGTACAAAGAAAAAAGGAAAAGTAAAAAGTTAAAGAAATAATTAACATATCTTCCAGTGATTTTAGATTTAGATTTTTATTCCAGGTTATAAATTTTAATTCAGTATACATCTCTCTCTAGAAATACAATTAGTGTAATTGGTGTTCCCCAAGGCTCTATCATGGGTCCCACATTGTTCCTGATCTTCATCAACGATTTTCCAGATATCATCAGTTACCAATAGCAAATCCAGCATCGCTGACAAAATTAACCTGGCCGTTGGTCTAGAAAAATACCTCCAACCTGTGATTGACAGAGGCAGGAAACGGCTTGTAAACTTGAAAGCCTTCTAACTAAACTGCTCTCATTTACCCACCATAGAGAACCCTCCCTCCCAACGAAATGGCTGATGCCCAACTCCACGAGCGCGCTTCTATGCGTCTGCTTGGTTTCACGTTTTTTTACTAAATTTAACTGGCACAACCTCATTGAATCCATAGATTCATCTACCGCAAATAAAATTGTTGCTCTGTGTCGCGCCAGACGGTTTTTCTCGCTTGTGTCTAACCTTCAAATCTAGAAATCAACCATTCGTTCTTGCATTGAATACTGCTGCCATATATAGTCTGGTGCCCCCGCTGTCAACTAGAGTTCCTCGACAAAATCCAGAGACGGATATGCAATGTGATAGTTCCAGATATTCCCTCTGGCTTTTCTGCAAGTATTTTCATAGCAACTGCTCTGACGAGCTACTTTCACTGGTGCCCCAACTGCATGGATTTAAGCTTGCTACCTTTTCACTGTCGAAACGGTTAAATGAAGCAGTCTCTTCTACTCCAACAGCTTCTCTTGCACTTCTCAACAGTAGAACTCTCTTCCTCTCACTTGCTTCCCTGATAGCTATAATCTTCAAAGGTAATGGCAATTGATATCTTCTGAAGCCTTGATCTTGATCCCCATAAAATAAATATCCTTTCAAACAAATTTCTTTAATCTCGCTCTTACTCTCTGTAACCCCTTGCGGGCTACTGGCACTCCTGTTTTGCTTGAAGTGGTATACCAGATTTCGCCATCAGCATCTTGTGCGGACCGTGTATCGCATTAACTCATTTCACCAGAAACTCTTGTGGTATGGAAGATATAACTTCTTGTATTCTCCCTTCATATTCTCCCAAAGTATGGGTTCGTATAGTAGACTTTCTCCATAACCAATCCCAAATAAAAAAATAAAGTCACTGTGTGTTTAGTCAGGATTCCTGGCTGGCCATTCATACATAAAATTGGGAGTTACATTTCAACCACGCTGTATATATTGAATTTCATATTAATTTCTGCTTTTAATTTAACACAGGTGTCCAATGATATTTGTTGACAGAATTTTAATCATGTGACTAACTTGTGAAGAGTATTCTTGCCATTAAAGCTTTCATGGACTCTAAAGTTCATTTTACCAAATTAGTGATGTAATATGATTAACAAATGAGAAGATAAACAAATTGTCAAAGTGAAAGCGAGAAAAGAAACGCTAAGACGAACGGAATCTTAAAATCAATAATGAACTTATACATTTAATTAACACAACGATGCTTATCATCGTTATTATATGCACCAGGGTCGGTCCTAATGGATTCTTTGCACAACGGGCCGTTCATTTGGTTATCGAAATTTTGGTGAACAATTTTGTTTAATAAAGATGAAAGCTACGAAAATTACTGAATCTTTCAGAAGTTTTATCCTACAAAAGTTCACATGAATCACGAAGTGCAGTTAGTTTAAAATCTTTACGAAGTTTTTTTATTTCATTTTAACAGCTGAAACAAAGGCAGTAATGTAATTGCTACATTAAACTCAGAGAATACTGACTGACAAAGATAAGATGCAAGAAGAAAGATAAAAAAAATCATAGTAATTGTGGTGAACAATTATGTAGAAGCAAGCGGATCAGAGTGGCTTCCATTTGGTGCAAAGGAAAATAAGTTCCTTACCTCATTACACGACATGTAGCATCAGCATTTTGTTCATTGAAAAATGGCATTTTCCCCGCCTTATTTCAATAGAGTGTATTCTCTAACGGTGGGTTTTGTCCAGTTTAGCATGTTTCGACCAATAGAAAGTCGTGTGCTGATTGGTCGGATTAGAGGAGAATATTTGCCTGTGTAACTGAGGACAAATGCGAAGAACGCTAATTGGTTAGTCGTCAGTGGTGTTGGTATAATAAAACAGGGTTGAAGCAATGAGAAATGAGGATTGTTGTTGTTTGTTTTTAAGTGGGTGACGTGCGAGGAATTGATTAAAAAAATAAAGTGTATCTCTATATTTCTGAGATGAGGTATTATATACACTATTTACATTATTCGGACTATTGTCCTCATCTTTGTCGCCATATTTATTACAACGTTTCGGTCGTTGTACGCTCCGGCCTTTTTCAGGTGGTTGGAATATCGAACTAAAACCTTTATTTCGCTCAATAAGGTAGACTGTTCTTGTTCCAGGTACCATGTTTAATGTATGTCAGCTGTCAGTTATCGCCCCTCTCCAAGTTCTCCACTGTCTTAAGCGGATATTGAACTCACACTCTTTGGGTCCTGTCAGTGGATCTAACCAACGCCTTTATCCACTCGGCCATGTGTCCTTGGGGACGCCTTTATCCACTCGGCCATGTGTCCTTGGGGACGCCTTTATCCACTCGGCCATGTGTCCTTGGGGACGCCTTTATCCACTCGGCCATGTGTCCTATACGCCTTTATCCAAACGGCCATGTGTCCTTTTTTTTTTATCCACTCGGCCATGTGTCCTTTTTGACGCCTTTTATCCACTCGGCCATGTGTCCTTAATTCACGCCTTTATCCACTCGGCCATGTGTCCTTGGGGACGCCATTATCCACTCGGCCATGTGTCCTTGGGGACGCCATTATCCACTCGGCCAGATACATGATCGCCTAAGCGTCTATCACGTATGACACAAAACTGACACATTACATATTTGTCAAAGTTGATATTTGTCATATTACAAATACTCCAAAAATTAACCAGTAATTAACCACTCAGTAATATTAAACTGGCTTGTATATTACGATGCCTAAGAAAACGAGTCAGTAACATTTCAATATCACCGATCAGACTGGGTTTTCGCCAGTCACGATAAACGGTTCATCTCTCAATCAGACTATGTTGAATGTTTATTAGTACTTGAGTTCACTCCAGACATCAAGTGGAACGCGTATATACAATCCATTGCGAAAGCTACCAGGGATGAAAGCTCATTAGAACATATCATGAGCCTTCTCAATCCTTGGAAAGCCCTCCCTGATTGACCATGTTTGTAGCGGTATTCAATACGCATGGCCAGCTGAGAGTTGGTAAAGCTATCTATGTTTAGAATATTTGAATTCAGACACTGCGAACAGGTATATTTAGCCAGCTTCCCCACCAAGGCAAAAGGTCTATTTTTACGTGTGGAGGACCATACAGATAAATATGCATATGGGCCAAGGAAAAAAAATGATTTTTCTTCAGCTTCCACTGTTACGCTTTAATGCGATCAGGAAGGTGCTGCCACGGGATTGGAAACCCCGGTTGTAAGCCACTTGTCTTATTTAAAATGAGGAGAACCATAGCTCCACTTACAGGGACCAGTAAATCTATTTCAAAATATATATATATATATATATATATATATATATATATATATATAAATACACACACACACACAATATTAGTGGTCTCTCTCTATATATATAAATTCCCAAGATAGAATCCAGGTAGAACTCAATGTCCAGGACAGAGTAAGAATATAATTGAGCCTTATATATTTCGAGCGTAACAGCAAAATTGCAATATCGTGTAAAAGTATAATATTCCATACCGCAAAATATTTAATATCTAATAAACCACTAAACTAATTGAGTGCCTTCTTTCCAGCTAAGACGTTTAGCCATCTTGACACTATTTACCCAAAGAATCACCTAGAAACCTTTTAAATTAAGCAGCTAGAAAAATAACAGGTTAAAATCGTTTTGTGTCAGACCCACTGTCTTCCCAAATGAGCAATGGCGAAAGGAAAAATATCATTCAGGACTTCAGTAATAGTACCAACATTCATACTTTGGCTTCCATCTTCAAAGTCCCTTCAAGAACTATCAAGGGAACGAAGACTAAATTTTTAAAAGAGGGTACAGTAGAAAACTGAATCAGGAGTTCACAACAGGAAGAGGGAACATCATTTCAACTTAGAGCTAAAGAAATCAATTAGAAAAATTCCAACTCGGTTTATACAACGTTTGCCATGTGAGAGGAGTGTTTCAGCTATGACAGTCCAAAGAGCAGTGAAAAAAAACTTTAAAATTTTATAGAACGTGAAACGTGTGAGACACCTCGTTACTCCAGGACAGAAAGTTAGAAGGATAGAGGGCGAAGATCGTCTTGAATAAATTGGAATATGATTCTGGAATATATATAATAAAAATAAAATCGATTCTCCCGTAGGGTTCGACGTATGAGGGTCAAGCAGATCAGTTTCCAGGAAACTGACAGCCCGACACCGGCACATGAGATTCGATTATAGTGGTGAAGGTTTCGTGCAGGACCATCCACACTTTTTGAAGGGCCGAATACAGAGACCTGGTGCACTACGTGCCACAAGGTACCCAAACACCCCCCTCAGGTTTTGAATTCAGAGTTGTCCTTCTTCTAGACCAGTTGACATCCAAGGCTATAGAACCCAGTCTATCCTGCTATTTAACCCATAGCTGGAGGGAGAAGAGGATTCACACCTTTCCCAAGGGTATTAGCACGTAAGTGAATGTAATGGATTCAACCTGGATTCGAACTCGGCTCTGCGATTCCACAATCCAAGCCGACATCCATTACCTTGTGTATATATATATATATATATATATATATATATATATATATATATATAAGTTATATCAATCCTTCATGATCTTCCGATCCTTAGCTATGATTATTTAATAATGAAAATGTGATTTTCGCTTATGATCGATTTCATTACGCGTCTTCTGTTAAGCTTAGAGATTAAATATACATTCTTATTGTTCGAAGTAGAGTC